AAGAAAGAAAGAAAGAAAGAAAGAAAGAAAGAAAGAAAGAAAGAAAGAAAGAAAGAAAGAAAGAAAGACTGTTGCCAAAAAAGTGGGTTTAAAAACTGAATAGATAATCATGATGTCTACTCTCCTTATGCAGTCCGTGCCAAAGTGGTTCGTGGTCTTCCAGATGTTGCAACCATCATGGAAAGTAAGGTAATGAATTGTCTTGGATGGTCTCCAGCTGTGCAAGTGAGGGATAACTGCTGTGGGAACCCTGAATTATATAAGAAACTCTTGCATTACCATTTATATTAGTAACCGATAAGGCAGGAGTTGTGACATTCCATTTGTGTGTACCTTTCTGCAATCCTTCCAGGCCCCAAAATTCCACAATTCCAGATGTTTTTTCCTCTTCTTCCCCAAAGTATAAGATCCTCAATGTTTCCAACAATCAGCCCCTGGTTCCCACAAAGATCAGGTGTGAGACCCATGAAAACCCCTGCAGGAATGCTAACATGGCAATCTTGTAGCATTGTAAAAGTTCTAAAAAGAAGTACCTATTTTTAATTTAACTTCTGGGAATTGTAGTTGCCCTTTGGGGGCTCATCAGAATGCCCTAGCATGGGGCAAGAGGGACAGGGATCCTGGAGGGCATAAACTGGGCTCTCCGCCCATACATTGGTACTGTCAGACCTGCCCTAGTTTGATCTCTTCGGAAAGAAAGACTCTGGGCTCCAAGTGATAGGTTTAATAAAATATGTTGGTTAGAGTAGTGTTAGGCTAGAACTAAATTTCCTCCATTCAAAGGATACAGAAATTTTCCCCCATCTCAGCCCTCCCCCAATGACCAACCTATGTTCGGCCAATAAGAGTCTGCCAGTGTTTTGAGAACGCTGAGATGTTTAGGGGAATCCACGTTCTTTCCCAGGGTGCATGGCCTTGATTGTTGGCACAAACTGGTTCCGAGCTCCTTGTTCTTCGTCGAGCTCCCATTCCCCCCTCCCAATTTCCCATTAAGTATACATGCAGGTCGATTGCCCGTTTGTTCCTCCTTCCCATGTCTCCCTCCTCCTCCTAGCCTTTGATGGCAGGATTCCAGCAAGGCGCCAAGCCGAAGATGGCAGACCTGACAGGTACTGAAGGGCACTGTCCTACCTGTCCCCCGGGCGTGTCCACCTTGCCTAATTGTGTTGCCTTTCCCTGTCTAATCTGAAGTCCTACAATGAATCCTTTATTTGTTCCCAAAACAGACATTGTGCTTGACCTGTATCATCTCTGGAGACCCTTACCCAGAAATCACCTGGTACAAGAATGAGAAGGTCATTACCTTCAAAGACCGGTACAAGATGGAAGTGAAGGGGACCGTGATCACAATAACCATTGAGAACGTCAGCAGTGAGGACACCGGAAGGTTCAGCATCCTTGTCAAGAACAAGTGGGGCTCTGAAACTGGGAAAGTGACGGTCAGCGTCTACGAGCAGGGGGATGAACCGAAGGAGCTGAAAGGGGAACCTCCCTCTGTCTGAGCCCAGGTTCATTTCTAAGGGTCTGGTCCAGAGGTCCTCACCCAACAGAAGAGGATGGTCCTCATTCATTGCAAGGAAAGACCCACCTCCCCATCCCCTACCCTACCCTCGCTGAGTTCTGAGCAGACTTGAATGATATTTATAGATATTTATCAAAGTCAACCCCCAGCCCCATAAGAGGATTAGAATCAGCTCTCTTGCTCACCTCTCAGTGTTTTTCACTGCTTTCAAACATACAAACACACCAGTGGTGGATTCTGGATCCGTACCCGTTGGAACGGGCCCGGCGTCACCCATATGGACACGCGCAGTGCGCGCACACATGAGAGCAGCATGCACATGCGTCATACTTGCCTGCGACACCTTTGCAAGCCTCCTCAGGCACTGTATGTGCCATGCACGGAAGCGCTGAAGGCTTAAAGGACAGGTAAGGAGCTCGGGCGGGTGGGCCCTCCGGAGCACCGTACCGGAACAGTATCCAGTGCTCTGGGCAGGCTCCGGTATGCCCGTACCAGGGCTTACCGCGTACAACCCACCACTGACACAGACACACACATACACATATCCATAAATAGTAATAGCACTTAGACTTATATACTGCTTCACGGTGTTTTTACGGCCCTCTCTAAACGGTTTACAGAGTCAGCCTATTGCCCACAACTATCTGGGTCCCAATTTACCCACCTCAGAAGGCTGAGTCAACCTTGAGCCTGGTGAGATTCAAACTGCCAAATTGCAGGCAGCCAGCAGTACTGCACTCTAACAAGTGGTGGGATACAACCGGTATGCCCCAGTACGGGAGTACCGGTGCCTGCTAGGAGCACCAGGTACCGTTCCGGTATGGTGCTCTGGAGGGCCCGCCCACCCGCCCACCCTCCTTATGTGTATTTGAGCCAATTGGGGTTACACACGTGGAGCGTACAACACCTGCGCGATGCTCCGCCAAGCAGCTGGAGCATTATGGAGCATTGCAGGTGGTAAGTACGCATGTGGTGGACACCCAGACCCATTGTACCATACCGGTTGCAATGGGATCTGGAACCCACCACTGACTCTAACCAATATGCCACTGTGGCTCAAAGTCAGCCCCAAGCTTCTATGGATGCTTCAAATCAAAGCCACCATAAATCATGACTTACAAACCACAACAATTAGGTTCATATGAGATTCTAAATCAAAGTGAAATATTTATGTGGCTGCTGCTTGCCATCTCTATGTGGCATAAAACCAGACACTGTGATTTATAAAGCATGGTTTATGGCTTAGCCCTTTGAGCAAACCCAACCACTGTAGCTTCAACAGAACACAATGGACCCAATCTCAACTGCATCCAGTTTTAGTCACCATGATGTTGAGACTCTAGAAAGTGCAGAGGAGAGCAACAAAGATGATTAGGGGACTGGAGGCTAAAACATATGAAGAACGGTTGCAGGAACCGGGTATGTCTAGTTTAATGAAAAGAAGGACTAGGGGAGACATGATAGCAGTCTTCCAATATCTCAGGGGCTGCCCCAAA